TGGATTTCTATTAACATGTCAATATACAGCTTGTATACAGTTGCTCTAAGCACAGGATTTTGGCCTTTTTTTGTAAAGCAGTGACAATTAAAATTATGCAGGAAGCAAAAGTGGGTATATAGCTGAATCACAGTATTGGTGTGGGTTTGTGGGAATTCAGCTTTTTTCTGATTATTGGGATGGGGGGGTGTTATTGTTTTTAAGCCTATTTGAGAGTTTACACTACCATTTTCATAAAAGTGCATAAAAGGGCAAGGGGAAAAAGATAAGCCTACAAATCAGCAGGTTGCTACTCACCTGCACAAGGACCAAAGTGCACTTAGTTGGGTCCCATAGAAATTTCACAGTATTGAGTAAAGCAGAGGGCATGTGAGGCTCCAGGATTCCCACAAACAAAGGGATATCTATAGCAGCTCAGAAAAGGAAAAATCTACCAGAACCCTCTCATGGAAAGGTAGCAGAGGATGGTTTTTTTTTTTTTTTTTTTTTTTTAAACCCTAGGTTATTGTGGTGTTTATTAAATATACAACAGAGAGATACGGGATGTNTTTCTGTGTCTCTTCTTTGTGCAGGCCATTCATTGGAGCAAAGTGGTCATTTGATGGTGTTGAAGACCGGCAGGATAATCATCTTTCCTCTGTAAGTATCTGTTTTATTGTTTTGTGCGCTGGTTTCATCCTAATGCAGTGCATGTAATGGAAGAGTTCATTTCTGTGTCTCTTCTTTGTGCAGGCCATTCATTGGAGCAAGGTGGTCAGTGATGTTGAAGACAGGCAAGGAGAGTCATCTTCCTTCTGTAAGTAGCTCTTTTATTGTTTTGTGTACTTATTTTATTCTTATTTAAGTAGTAACTGCACAAAATAATAAATTTACTTTTTTTATATCTTCTTTTTGTAGGTCATTCATTGGGGCAAAGAATTCAGTGACATCAACTTGGCCACTCCCTCCTGGTCACATAATTGCCAAGCCACTCCCACCTGGTCACATGATTTCCAAGCCACTCCCACCCGATCATATGACCGCCAAGCCACACCCACAAAATAGGCCACACCAACAGAATAGGTAGTAAAAAAATTTGAAACTCACCACTGCAGCAGATGATCCCCAAGTGGCTACTGTAGGACATGGGCACCATACTATCCCTCACACATCCTTGGTTCCCCATAATTAGTGTGGCAGTGCAATTAACTTTCTGGTGGTAACAGAGGTGGGTTTCTGCCAGTTTGCCCTGGATCGGGCAGATCAGTAGTGGTGGTGGGAGGCTCCACCCACCGGCTCAGACCGCATGTGAGCACGCGTTCAGGCATAAGCGAGCCGGTAGTAAAATAAATTGAAACCCACCACTCGCCGGTATGGAGAATCACCATAACTGATCAACTTTCTAAAGTCCTGAAATTCGTAACTACTCTCTCACTACTCTCTCACCGTGGGAAGTTTCCTTTGATCAGCTAGAATGAGTACCAGGACCATATTCTAACTGGCATTGTTGACCTTGACTGGCAATGGCTCTACACAGTTTTAGGACAGAACCTTCTTTAAATCTACTACCCTGGTTCCTTTTGTGTGGAAAGCAGGTACTTTAGTATTGAACTACAGCCTTTCTTTTCCAAGCCACTTTTACTTCCTGGGATCAAGAAATAAATTCTTGCAGTTTGAAGGTCATTAAGTAACAAAAACATCATTTGTACACAAGGGAGTGGAATCAGCAGGAAGGGTAGTCACAGGTTTGTCAAAGTGTTAAAAAAATGGGGATAATTGATGGAGTACCCCTACCTTCCTAACTTCTGTTTCTGTTGTCTAACCATTGATAAAATAAGTCCCATATAAAATAATATTCAGTTTCTTCTTTATCCTTAATAGTAAGTGTTAGTCTATCCATTTCTATAGCAGTTAGACTATAGCAGTTAGACTTATATACCGCTTCATAGGACTTTCAGCCCTCTCTAAGCGGTTTACAGAGTCAGCATATTGCCCCCAACAACAATCC